CTCCTCAACTTAACATTTAAAGTGCTCTTTTGAGAATGATTTCCCATTTCTCCCCTCACAAGCTATACCCCACCCAAATTGTTGTTTCTGTTTCCCAAACTCAGCATTGGAAAGACTATCACACTGACACGGAGTCCCACTTCAGGAATACTTAATTTGCCTTCAAGGCCAAACTCAAATGCCACCTCCTATAAAAAATTAGTATCCTTCCTCAGCTCACCAAGTGGAAGTATTCCCCTCCCCATGAAATTACTTTGAATAGATTTTGTATTTATCTGCATACATTCTATTTCCTTCGAGTAGAACGTAAAATGACTGAGGGCAGGGATTGTTAACATTTTTCTCATTTATGTCCAGAATTTGGCAGGGTACATGACAAATAGCAGATCTTTAATAAACATTTGGTAAATTAATTTAATCAGAAATGAAGGCAGGGGGCAGCTAGGTGGCGCAGTGGATAGAGCACCGGCCCTGAAGTCAGGAGGACCTGAGTTCAAATCCAGCCTCAGACCAAACACTTGATACGTACTAGCTGTGTGACCCTGGGCAAGTCACTTAACCCCAATTGCCTAAAAAAATAAAAAAGAAAAAAGAAATGAAGGCAGTCACTACTATTCCAGAGAAATTTATACAATCAAAAAATTATGCAATAGCTAGATGCTTTATATTGTAAAGACAGTCAATATGGAATCATTAAGGCCTGTGGTTTCAAGATAGTATAGTTTGGGGATACGCTGGTATATATTTTACAACCAGCCCTAAAACATGCACAATAAACTTTTAAATTTAATCTGAATTATTAACATTTTCTCCTAATTTCCTTAAGTTTAGACAATCAAAGCAATACACAAAACCTTGATTGGTAGCATTTGTCACTTTCCCAGTTATAAATTCTCACACTGAAAATTTAATGATTAGTTCTCCTGTAGATATAAGTAAACTCTAGCATACCCTTGTATTATTGTCTTCTGAGGAATGAGATTAAAGAAAAGCTAGGTAGGAGAAATGACAGTATAGAAAAGATAAATAATGCCAGAGAGCCTTTTATGGCTTTCTTGAAAGCTATAGCTGAGAAGACTATAGAATCAGAAAAAACAAAACAAAACAAAAAAACCAAAAAAAAAAAAAAACCAGAAATAAAAACAAACCCAACCTATTAAAGTTTCTCAAAATAAATAGAATATGGAAGGGACCAGAAAACTTTGTAAAAATCCAAGTTTCTCATTTTACAAGTGGGAAAAGTAAAATATAGAAACCTTGAATGACTGAACCAATGAGCTATGACTAATGATTGGCTGAGCTGGGACTAGAACCTAGGTTTCTTGACTGATGACCCAGTTGTTTTCTTGCCATACCAGCTTGTCTTTCATGCTCAAGATATATATGTGTATGTATGTGTGTGTGTGTATCTCCAGAAGGTTTTTTTTATTGAGTTTAGCATTTTAAAATATACACATTTGAAGGCTTTTTCTTTGAACTTTCTGATGAAGGCAGTACTTTCCAAATTGACACTAGATTTGGAAGGGGCCTCTGGAAACCATTTTATCTATCTCTTTGCCCAAGGCAAAATTTTGTCCACAGTTTCCAAGGCAGGTAAATTACTACCCTATTCTTGAATATGTTGCTGCTGTGCCTAAAAATCTCCTTGTAACTGAAATCTGTCCTGGCTGCTTAGTCAAACTTACTGCTTGATTGTAGGCATACATTTTACTTTTTAGCTTTTACTTTCAACAAACAAAGACAAAAGCAAGGAAGAGGGTGAGGAGGATTTTGGACTTTGATTTGAAAAGGCACACAAAATGTTTTGTTATGGCTTACAATGACAATGTTGTTTTACATTTGTACTATCTTAGTCTAAGATTTTTAGGATACTCTTCATATGACTTAACAGTTCTCAAAGTACTTTCATATGCATACTTTCATTTAAACCTTCAGTCACCCCCACCCCTACCCCACAGAAATATGTGAGGTGAGTGGAGAAAATAGGCAGAATTAAAGCGTCTAATCTAAAAGGCCCAATTAAAAAAATTCTTTTTTTTAAGGTGGGGGAGTAATTACAGAATAAAAACTAAGGAATGTTTGCTATGTTGTTGTTGTTGTTACAAGGACTGATAATCAAAAATTGTGAAACTTTGTGATCTACTAAATACTCCCTGCTTCAGTTTTTCCCGACTCCACTGTGATCTTTCTAAATCACAGGTTTAACTGAGTTAACCCTGCCACCCTCAATAAATTCCAGTGACTCTCTATTACCTATTAGATCAAATATAAACTCTCTTGCCATTTAAACCACTTCACAATCTGACACTTTCTTATCTACTTGCCCTCCACACACTTACTCTGGCCTATTTGCTGTTCCTCACATTCCATGCACTAGTTGTTCCTACAAATCTGGAAATCTTTCCCTTTTAACCTCTGTGTTTTGGTTTCTCTGGCTTCCTTCACATTTCAACTGAAATTCCATTTTCTGCAGGTGGCCTTTTCCAGCCTCATCTCACTACCTTCTGATAGTACCTTTGTCTCTGAGATGACTTCTTATCTACTCTGTATGTAACTTGTTGTGTTGTCTCATTAGAATGTGATCTCCTTGAGGGCAGGGGCTGTTTTTACCTTTCTTAGTATATCCAACGCTTAGCACTGCCTGGCACGTATTAATCAAAGAATAAATGATTTTTGATCACAACTCAGCATAATTTAAGCCTGTCACTCTAATTAATGAAAATTGCTTTAATGTTATAACCTTTGCTTCCCTCTCTTCTCTCTCTCCTCTCCCCCCCACACACTCGTGCACGCGCGCGCGCGCACACACACACGCACACACACACACACACACACACACACATCATTGAAACAGTATCCTCCACTTCCCAGAGAAGATACTTAAACACTTTAATCTAATTTAATCTAATTCCTCCACCATATATATATATATATATATATATATATATATATATATATATATATATATATATGTATCCCTTAGCAAATCTAATGAGCCCTTCTACCACAGCAAAGGTGGTTTGGAAAGTCAGAAAAAAGTATGTTTCAATGGTGGACAGAGCATGGAATATTAGAATTTTGAGATCCATTTGTTGAGAGGAAAGTGAGAGTTAGATAGCTATTGGAGTACCTAAGAAACTGAGTCCCCTATAACTCTACACATATGATCCTATGAAATACTCGTGAGAGGTTTTTTGTCTTCTTTTGTTTTCATGTTTGTTTCTTAGTAAAAAGAGAACAGTAATAATCATAGATCAATCATGATAATATTAGCATTCTCTCAACCTACTTAAATGCAAATTTTCTAATTCTTAAATTTCCCAAGTAGCCCAGAACTTGTAAAGAAATAAGACAAATTGATTGATGGGTTGGTAGTGGGGAGGGAGAAGGGGGAGGGTCAGTGGGAGGAAGAGATCCTTGGGAGTAGGCATGGAACCAATTCTTATGGTACACGAGGTTGAGGGTAGGTGTTAATCTTCTGGTGATTTTCATTTTGCACCCCACTTCTGAATGAAAATAGGTTGCTCCATAACACTATTTCCTAACCCCACTCCCCCAGTTATCCTTTCCTCTTTCTCCGGCCCCTCTTCTCTACCACTTCCTCTAGGTCAGCTGGGCAAAAAGAAGGTTGGTCAAAGTGTTGGGAGGACAACTGTTCTAATTTCCTTAGGGCACCTAACTGAAGCTTGAGGCTACTTCAAAGTTACGGCAGGACCCAGGACTCCCCTCAAAATCCTCAGAGCTTTTCCTAAACTGGGATATAAGAATCCAAGTACCTGTGTTAACAGCAGCAAAGAAAAACCCGAGGGATTATCTAGAGAGGGTGTGGGAAGTGATTTAACACGTGAATCTCTCTCATTACACTTTATGCTTTATACCTTATGCTTTCTATGTGTCCTAGGAGCTTAATAAACATTTGACTGCCAACTGGCTGATAAAACCTCCCAAACATAGTAATTCCCAAATGCAGCGGGGCAGAGCACACAAAGTTACAACTAGGGATTGAGAATTTGCACCCAGGTCCCTCAGACCAGAGAGTCGGTGTTCTTTCCAGAGTAATAAATATACTGCCTCTGCGGTCAGCACAGTGATCTACTACCTACTAGAAAGCTTAGGATTTGGGGGGCTTCCCACCTTCTCTTTAAACAGAAAATTAGGTCACAGGAAATATTTATTCTCATATTGTATTTATCTATTTACCTTGACTTGCAAAGTGAGGTGGGAAAGAGGTGGCTTTGAGACAGACCTTCTTTCTGTTCCAGTCTTGTGGAGATTCTTGCAGATAGTGTCACCTGATTTTATACCAGCTCCCCAAACAGGCAAGTAGTTCTGATGTAATCTGTCAAAAACCTGGAGGTGTGTGCGTGTGCGTGAGTGCACTTGTGTGTTCTGTCCAAAAGCTACGAGGGGATCCTCCCCACCTGAGAACATGGCTATTTTCCCCTCATTATACCCCTCTCTACCTGCTCTAGCCCCACCCTTTGCAAGGTCGGACCCCAGGGTCGGCTGATTTCCTTCCTCCCTCATTCTCCAAAACCCCAGGGAATGAATATCTTTAACTGGAATTCCCAGGTGGTTCTAGCAGTGAAACCACCCAGGATCAGTAGCTTAGGGCACATTTTGCTGGAGGGCAACTCTCTGGTTTCAGATATTTCTGCTTCCCCTTCCTCTTTTCCCAAATAGACATTTGAACACTTGTATTTGGCTGCTTTTAAATGGAGAGGATCGGTTCTTGTTGCCTGCCTAGTTTTAACTGGCGGGTCTGCATCTTCCTCCTCCTCTTCCCTATTCTGATTCGAGTCACAGGGATCTGGTGCTTACGCTTCCAAATTGAAGCTGGCCTCAAGCCAGGTGACCTTTTCTTTGTAAGTTTCCTTCCTAAGCTAGGGAAAGGGGCTGGAGTCTGTTTGGTGTTGTTTAGAGGGGAGGTGGGGGGAAGGGGGGAGGGTGGACAAGAGTTAAGGGCTGTTGTTAAACAGTTTCTTACCGTAAGAGGGAGTTCAGACCTAGATCTTTCCAGTTAATCACACAACAAACTTAGCTCATCGTAATAAAAAGCAGCTCGGTGCAGGCTGGCTCCTTTAGTGACTGCCTCTACACAGGATCCTTTCAAGCAGGCATCTCCTTCTGTGTGATCTGCCAGCAAGACCAGCACCATGTGGGTGACCCAACTTCTGCCAATACTGGTGCTGCATCAGGTTCTTCAACATCTCCTTCTTCTTCCCATCACCATTTCCTTTGCAGGTTAGTTTTTTCTTTTTCCTTGCTCATTAAAAAAACAACAACCTACCTTCCGCATCTCCTCTCTTCTAAGTTTAAATGTCTTTAAAAAAAAAAAAACCCTCTTCGTGCATTTTCTTTTTAACCCCTCTTTTCTGTTGAAAAGCCTTTTAAAGGATAATTAACGGCTCATCAATACCATCCTCCCTTCCTCACTAGCCTAATGGGTTATGAATTGTGGGATAGAAATAAAGTGCTAACACTAGTTTGGAACTTTGCCTGTTTGGGGAAGTTTAAAGCTGGGGAGAGGATATGGATTAGAGTGCAGTTGAGTGATGGACAAGATTGTGGGGATTCATCCTTTTTCCAGATAAGACATCTCTCCAAAAATAATTTATGCACCCATTTTACAACCCAAGATTCAGCCTCTAATTGTGATATATACAGGTTTTTATTTGAGAAATATAAATCAAACACCAAATGTGTACATGCTACAAAAATGTAATCTTGTTCTCTCTTCTCTCAACTCTGTCTCCTCTCTTTTACTCTCCTTTCTTTTTTCTCTCTCTCTATCTCTCTCCCTCTCTTCCTCTCTTTCTCCCCCTCCCTCCATGGGTAGCTGTCCTTGGGTAGCTGCCATGCATGGAAGGCATAAATGGTATGGGTATGGCTTTGATTAGGCTCAAGAGCAGCTTCACTCTTTTTTATCTCACTTTCTACCCCAAACTTAAGAGTTCTAAAGGAGTCATTTGGGAATGACTATTGTCTGGGTAGTTTAGAGAATATTTCATTTGCTGCTCCTAGGAATTTATAGTCCTTATCAGGACAAGAGGAAACATCTGTATTTGGTTGTATTATCATTGTAGTGGGTAGAATATTGAAGTGAGAAAGCAGTGAACATCTAGGACATGGGGGAATACAAAGCTTGGAATGAGTGACCAGATGGTAGATATAGCCTTTTCCAAGTCCAACACAAAGAATTGGCTATATCTTTTGAACTAAATTAGGTATGAATAATCAGATTCATGATCCAGTTTCTGATGAAATCCAGGGGTTGACAACACTGAGAATGAGCTAAATAGATAGGAAAGAAAATCATCAACCTTTGGGAATTGGCTGCCCTTTGGTGTATCTATTTTGTGAATTGTATGGAGGGAGGATATTGGTTTGAGAATGGTCAACTAGAATGTTTTTTTGATGAGACTTCTGGAGAAAGTAAAAAGTAGACTCCTCTTCATCCAAATGTGTCCAAATATACTAAGTAGGTAAATTATGATTACTAATCATTTTATTATGGTGGTTTTCTATAGGGCAGGAACACCTGTAGGAGGTTTTAAAATATGGTTCAAATAATGGCTAATATTTGGGAAATAGTTTCTAAAGAAAGTATCACAGCATTGTTAACCATACTTTCCTCTCAGTTATAAGTCCACACAGCAAATAATTGAGAGAACAACTCTGTTTTTGGAATGAATTATAATATATCTTTGGCAGTGGATTTACCTTTCTAATTACACTTTACTTTGGCTAATGTTGAAATGATTTTGCATTCTCAGAAGTGTGTTGGCTAGTAGGGGGAGACCAAGAGGGAATTACAAATTTACCATGGATAATTCATGCAGTGGATGTCTGAGAGTTGATACTACTTTGCTTGGGAGATAGGTTTAGCTCAATAGTTTTTGACGTATAACCTTCCTTTGGAACTGTGTACAATATAATGAATGTGATTGATAGACCATTTTGAAATATGCAGAAAAGAATGTTTCTTTTTCTTGTCATCTAACTGCATGAGCTCTTCAGTTTTTATTATTGTATGCTTTGGTCTTATAACATATGAAAATAGAGCTATAGTTATGTATTAGAGGCATCTTGGTGCAGTGTAAAGGACATTGTAGTTAGAGTCAGAAGACATAAGTTCCAGATGTCTCTCTGCATCTTTCTAGGTAGTTAATCAAGTGAAAGTCTGTGAGCTTCAGTTTTCACATCTATAAAATGGAGACAATGATAACTATATAACAGGACTGTTGCAAGGAAACTACTTGGTGAACTACAAAGTATAATATAAATATCAGCTAGTTAAAAAAAAAACAAGAACACAGAAAGAGAATTTTAAACTTATAAACCTAGTAATAACAGAGCATTACAGTAGAAGAACATGGGACTGTGAGCCAGGAAATCTCTGTTCAAATCACCAGTTTCCATCATAATACTAAAGTAATTATAAGCAAGTGACTTTATCCCTAGTTATCAATTTCTCCATCTGTTAAATGAGAAGTTTGGAAGACATGATGTATTAGGTCACTTTCAGTTGTAAAGGTCTATAGTACTGGGTACCAGGTGAACGTTAAGAAAAGGTTTACTAGACAACCAATCAGTGGAGAGTGGGAGGTACCAGAGGCACTTTTACTTAGGAAGAAGTTTCCCACAATAATAACTTAAGAGAAGAAAGTATGCTGCACTTACAGTTTCAGAATCTGGGTTCAGATTAGAACTCTGTGATTTATTACCTGGGTGACCCCACAAATTCACCTAACTTTTCTTGGTCTCAGTTTCTTCATCTTATAAAACAACAGGGTTAGACTATAGGTGACCAGGTGTCACAGTGAATAGAGCTCGGGACCTGAAGTCAGGAAAACCTTGATTTCAAATCTGGCCTCAGACACTTGCTAGCTGGGTGACCCTGGGCAAATCACTTAATCCTGTTTACCTCAATTTTCTCACCTGTAAAATGAGCTGGAAAAGGAAATGGCAAACCATTTTAGCATCTTTTCCAAGAAAATCCTGAATGGGGTCATGAAGAGTTGAATACAACTGACCAACAATAACAACAAAACTAGATGGCATATAAAAGCTTTTCCAGCTCCAAATCTATGATCATATTATCTTAAGGGATTATTGGGCTCCTATGGAACAGCACAATTTCATCTAAACCAAACTGGGACATATTTGTGAACCATTTCTGAAAGATAAACTATTCATTCAAATCTGTGTATGATTTCTACACTATTTTCTCCTATCAATGAATCTATGGATCTTTTGATGCTGTGATTTTACAGCTTTCTTTCGTATCTTATAGGTTTCTTTGGTGTCTCAGAAATTCTAGTTGTCTATGAAAATAATTATGAAAGTGTATATTTGTCTACAGAGTCTTTCTTTCCAGAGTCACACATCCTCTGTTCTCCATTCCTTTTAATTATTTGTTTATTGTCATCTTAACATCTCACCACTTCATACTTGCTAATCCTTAATCTTATGGACAGATTTTTCAGAGTGAATGGAGCCAGATTCCTGTTTCTTTCCACACTCTGCAAATCCTTTTCCTGTACTGACCTCCCTTTGAAGTTACTGGGAGCTCCCACATAGAGGAAAATATATGAGGTACTAAGAGAAATGAATATCTGGCCCAGGGACCAAAGGGAGAAATATGTCTTTCTTAAAGCACCTTGGACTCAATACATTTGGCACTATTTGCTGTTACTTTTCACTATGTTCCTAACAATGGTAAGTCTTGAATAAGTAAATTAAATAAGGGACTAGATAGGAAACATATTCACCAAAATATTTCTCCCATATTCTTCCATTACACAGAGCTTTTCCCTGGGGGGGGGGGTGTTGAGAGTGGGAAGGAATGATAGTGATTTTCAAGGATGCTTTTGCCCTTTTATTTTAGTCAAAGCTGTCTTTAATTCAACAAATATTTTTTAAACCTTTATTATGTACAAGGCACTGGCTGCAACCCTTGTTCTTAAGGCATTTATATCTGGCTGTGTGGTAGTAGGATGGCTACAATGTGTACATAGATAAGTAAATATAGAAGGTAGTGTGGTACAGATATGATGTAGGTTTGAACCAAGATTCCAAGCTTAGGTTTACTCTTACGAATTCAATAAACATTTATTAAGTGCCTACTATGTGCCAGCAACCTTATTAACTCAACAATGTCACCTCCATGATATTGGGCAAATCATTTAACTTCTCTGGGCCTCAGTTTCCTCATCTACAAAATGAATGTCATGGTAGGTGGCATCTGAGGTCCCTTCTGAATCCAAATCAGTGATACTATCATTATAATTTTGGACAGGTGGGTGACCCAATAGATAGAGCACTGGATTTGGAATCAGGAAAATTCATCTTCATGAGTTTGAATCTGGCCTCGGATACTTACTATGGATACTTACTCGGATACTTAGCTATGTGCTCCTGGGCAAATCACTTAGCCCTGTTTGCTTCAGTTTCCTCATCTGTAAAATGAACTGGAGAAGGAAATGACAAACCATTCCAGTAGCTTCGCCAAGAAAACCCTAAATGGGGTCATGAATAGTCAAATATGACTGAAACGACTCAGCAACAAATATGATTATAATTTTAGAAGACAATATGTCACTGAGGTATTCAGAGAAGACTTCCTGACTAGGTGAAACCTGAGCTGATCCCTGAAGGAATGTTAAGGTTATTGGAAGTGAACATGAAAAGGGAGTCTCTTGAAGGGATGAGGTAGCCTGTGGGAAAGCAGAGAGGGAAGAGAGAAAATGTTGAATTTGAGGAACATGTGGAAGTACAGTTTGATTTGAATATAGAGTATAAGAATGGTGATAAAATGAAATAAGATGGAAAAGGTTAGCTGGAGCCACATTGTAAAAGATCTTAAATGTTGGGTTTTGGAGTTTGTATTTTGTTCTATAGGCAACAGGGGGCCACTCAAAGGTTTTTGAACAGGACACAGCATAGTCAGATGTGTACTGATAGTAGGAGTAGTAGTCAACAACAACAATAATAATAATTTTAAAAAAACCTGACATTCTGTAGTACTCTAAGGCATGCAAAATGTTTAGAATATACTATCTCATTTGATTTAATCCTCAGAACAATACTGTCAGGTAAGTTCTACTGATATTACCTTCATTTTACAGAAATTGAAACTGAGACTGAAAGGCTTTAAGTGACTGATCCAGGATTTAAGTGACAGGTCCACTGTTTTAATCATTATTTTAACAAGGGTTCTTAACCTTATTTGTATCAGGGAACATTTTGGCAGCCTGGCAAAGCCTTTGGACTCCCCAGAATACTGTTTTAAATGCATAAAATAAAATATATAGGATTTTAAAGAAACCAAAGGTTGGTGAAATTAAAGATTTTTTTTTTAACCTGCCCCAGTTCACGGGTCCCTTGAAGTCTCTGTAGGAACCCCTTGGAGGTCTGTGAAAGAGAAGTTAAGAAACCCCGTCCTAAATATACATATCTATGCCTATATTTACACAAATATGTATGTGAAAAATATAATAAAACCTAAAATAAAACCTAAAATAATATTCTTTGTTACAAAATATATTCCCAACTTTTCTTTCTCTACATGTGTGTTTATGTGTGTGTACATATGTATGTGTATGTCTGCATAACTGATTCTTATTGCACTGAAAATACTAAAGATTAAATTGGGAAGGATATTACCTTTTTTTGAGTGGGGGAGGGATAATAAGTAGAGCTCTTAATTAAAGTTTCTAAGACTCACCTAGCCTAAAGTCCTTATTCAATATGTACTATGTATATATAGTGCATATGCAGTATATATACAAAATATATATACAGCCACATGTATATTATAATATAAATGCACATATACATATATATGGGATGGGGGATGCAGAGAGACTTTAAGAAGGATAAGTATTTTGAAACTTTAAGGGTTCTACTCAATATCCCACAATCCTTTCCCCACCCTCAAAAAAAGTAATAAGATCCTTCCGAAATTAATCTTTGGTATTTCTGATGCAAGAAGGATCAGTTGTAGAGACATACATATACACATGGACACACACATACATACATATATATGTATATATAAAGTTGGAACTTGATATTTTGTAGCAATGAATTTTATTTTTCAGTGTCACTTTTGAATGACATCTTTTTTGCATTTAGTTCTTTAATTAAAGAGGAGATATATTTTCTAGGTTTATGAGTTCTTAATTTTTATATGATGTAGGCACTGCCTAGAATCTGAGTTTTGAATAATGAGTCACTGACTTATTAAAATTAAAGGACTGAAATAGAACAACAAATAAGGATATTACAAAAAAACCCACAAAAAAAAGCAATCAACAGTCTGAGGACTCACAGTGCACAAACAAAATGGCATTTGCAACAAAGTTGTCTTCCCTTTAATCCCAAAGTGTTTATTAACTTTTTTCATTCATGATGTTAAAAAAGTACAAGAACATAAAATATCAGTGCAAACATGAAGTTCTGTTTGATTTTACTTGTCTAATGAAAACCATTTACAAATATATCATTCTTCTGACTTTAATTTTTTTTTTACTTCAGACTGACTAATTTCTTTATGCAATATTCTGCCCCTGGCTGCATATAATCATTTCACATCAGCTGTACAAGATGATATTATGCCAATTTAAGAACCACCTTCTTTTTAGTTAACATGATTCATTTGGAGAACTATTCCAATAGCCATATACTTTGCTCGTGCTGTTGTTAAGGAAGTCACCCTATTTTAATAGATTTTCTGCTTTCATTTACTTCCACAATTTTCTGGGAAATATACAAAATGAAAAATGAAGTAAAAATATTTAAGATTAGGATGACTCCTGACAGCTGGAAAACAGTACACAGAGATCAAAGGAAGTAGAAATTCTTGATGGAAAAACTAATCTCTAATTAATAGAATACTGTAATAGAAGCCAGAAGTTGAAGAAGTTTGAACATCCTTTACTTGAGAGAATTCTTCAGAATCTCTCCCTGAAAAAAAAAATGGAAGTATGGATCCTAAGACTTCAATTCATATACTTCTTTTTACCAAAGATTTTAGAATCTTTAATGAACACTCACTCTTTAATGCTTATCAAAACAACTTCTCAGGTAGAAATCAATGGGAGAGATATTTGATTCTTATGTGAGACAGCCAGTGTTGTTGGATAAGAGAGGTACAGTTAATAATCTGGCAGATAGTGTTCTAGGTACATAGTATCAACTCAAATAGTTGATGATGTATTGATTTGTTTGACTAAATTTTATCATTACCTTTTCAAGTGTCCATGTGGAACTGTCTTCTGTTAAAGTTCTATTTAACTGCTTCCTCAAAAAAGTGAAGGGGCCCTGGGTTATAATTCTCATGAAATCATGGAAAAGGCATAGATTTGACATCAGAAAACCTGATCTTTCTTGCTTTGTTTGTATGACTTTGGGCAAATCATTCTACCTATTTGTGCCTAAGGGTAGTTGGTTTGTTTTTAACTGTAAAAAGTAGTGGGTTGGAATGAATAATTTTTAGGGCTAAAATAGCTCTAGATCCCATGAGCTAGAAGATTTGATCAAGCTAGAAAAGTTTCTAATATAGGATAGACTGAATGCCGATAATCAAAAGACTGGCCTAGTTTGCATGGGCTCATCATAGGAAAGGGTAATTTATCAGTTAATGAACTTTTTTTTTTGGCAACAACAATTTATCAGGCCATTTATAGAAGCACAGAGGAATTGAAATCTGTATCAGTAAATGGGATATCCATTTTGATGAAATTATGGGTCCTTGATATGTTGATGTATGTAATATGTATAGAAGTATGCCTATACATATTATAGGGTAAAGATTATTCTCCTAAGAAACATGGAGGTTTTGAAAAGCATGCTCTGGAGACATATAAAAACAAGGAATAAAATGCATGTTTCTTTAATTCATAGTAATCTTCAGATCAGAACAGAGGTTGATAAATAAAGCCTGAATGTTTAATAAGCCAATAGGAGCCAGTGGTTGCTGGAAAAGTCAAAGTATGATGCCATTTCTGGCATTTTATTGTGTTACCCCATATTTCTAAGTTTTTATGAACATGGAGTTTTGCCTTCTTGGTACTTTTTTTTTTTGCATGTTTAATGGCCCCCTTGTTATAGTCCCAGTCTGTGTTGCTTCTTCATTCATGTCTGCAAATTTAACTCATAGGGAATGCTTCCACAAGCTGCCTATATACATGTTACCATCTTAAAACAGAACAAAATGAAATAAAACAAAACTTCCATGTGCTAGGACTGATGATGAAGAATTCTACCCACCTCCCAACAGAGCGATGATGGACTAATATGCAAAATGAGACGTACGTTTTTTGAAAGAGCCAATGTGGGAATTTCTTTGGCTTCACTATGCACATTTGTTGTGAGGGTTTTCATTTCTTTTTATTCTTCAATGCATGGGGGAAGAGAAAAATGGAAGAAGAGCAATGCTTGCTAATTGAAAAACAAAATTTAAAGAAAAAAAACGCACAAATCCTTTTTTTTCTCTTTCTAAATCTACTTCTCCTACTATCACCTCATAAAAGTCCCATCTCCTATTTAGACTTCAATTCCTTGGGACTTTTAATATTTTTGTTTGATTTTTTTGCTGTCTTTTCTCAGTTTCCCTACTTTCTTTACTGATCTTCTGATTTCTTATAAATACTTCTCTCTTAGCTATTAAGTACAGAAAGGACATGTATAGTTCTTCCCCTTCTGTCCCCATCCCAGTAAAAAGCTTGTGTAGTCCTAAGTGGAAAATAGCAAAGCAGAGGAAAGAAAGCTGTCTTGCTTCAGAAATGGCTCCCGTATAAGGCATTTAATAGACTGTGGTCACCCTCATTGCCCAGTAGCTGCAATCTATTAGCAGGCTTAACTGTGCAGGGTCAAGTAATGGTGGCAATTAGGAATTGGGACAATTGAGGTAAATGGGTAAGTGAAAGATCACATTTTCAATTCTTTCAAGACTGTACATAAAATTAAGCCCTTTGAGGATGAATAGCATGTCCTCCTGGGTTATTTGGCTTTTTAATGAGAAACTTCATGCTATCTGGTGGCCTTGAAGAACTCTTTTATAAAGAAAAATGAGACTCACATTAAAAGATGAAGTTTTGATTAACCACACTTGGCTGGATAGCAAGAGAAACAATACAGGGATAGAAAAAGTTATTATCTGTAAGAAAGATGTATTTATATAATAAATGAGAGAGAGAATATTTTTAAGTAATATAATTTTCCCCTCTCCCTGATGGTTATAAGAATAAATATGGACAATGTGTCCCGTGCACAGATTTTAGTGAGTTCTGTCTATCCTGTCAAACTTTGGTTGAATGGCTGTTGCTAGTTATTATAATTTATGTAAGGGCAAAATGCAGGAAGAAATGCAAAAATACAATATGAAACATGACATGATATGCTCCTGGCACTGTATCTTGCTTTCATGCTGTTTGGAGAAGAGCATGCTATTTATTTCTTCAGAATGAACTCTGTCCCAGTTTGAGAGAGCGTCCTCTCTCTGAAAGACTGTAGATTAGTGACCAGGCGTGACGACAGTTCCTTGGTTTATCCTTATCAACTAACTTTTTCTTCCCTTACTATAATTTACCTAACTTAATATTTTCAGAGGTTGACATTGCCAGGCAAAATCATTCTTTTGAATATTATCCTTCAAGGCTTTTTTTTTCTTTTGAATGTTTTTACTCATAGAGGGCCAGAGGAAAAGAAATACCCTACATGAATTCAAAAAGTCAGCAAAGACTACCCTAATCAGACTAGACTCATCACTGAATATTAAAACTAAGAGGCTGAACACGACGGACAAATGTGCCAAGCGATGTATTAGGAATAAAGGCCTTCCATTCACTTGCAAGTAAGTTGTTCCTTGTTGCTCTGATAGGAATTTTCCATTAATAGAATACACCCACATTGCCGATACATACTACATTATGTTTTAAAATTACTGGTGTTCAAATGTGCAATATAGTAGTTGGCCTATGCAGTCTAGACTTGGGTCTTTTAAACTTCTTGCCACAAGAGACTTATGACACAGTTGAAGGAAACGCAAAGAATAAATGGGAGTTGAGAACAGGATGTTAAAAATGTCTAATGGAAAAAAAAAGATTTATCTTTCTTAAATTTATTATGTGTTTTGTGATTTCCTCTATTCTATATGCAATTTTGATTATTAAAAATTAAATTCATTTGGATTGATTTTATTTAATTCTTTTTAAACTAGGCCATGGATTCAGAATAAATATTTATTGATAACAGAAGCAGAAGGAATTTTGAGAATATGAATTACAGAATTGGGTAACAGCCAGGATTTATAGGAACTTGTGTCAAAGGCTCAGGAGCCTGAGAATAGAAGGTGTTGAGAGGCTCAGACAATATCTACAGAGCTGGGCTTTGGCAAAAAAGGATGTTGAAAAGGCATTAGCGGGAAGACATGATAAATGTTTAGGTGAAAAGTGATAAGGTCGTTAGAAATGGCATTAGAAGAGTAAAGTGAGGGCTTGCTATCCTTTGCCAGTTCTTGTGTGACCTGACAATGAAAAATAACTCTATCGCACAGGATAAAAGTAGCATGATAGTGGAGAGAGCGAACTGACTTTTGAGTTTGGAAGGCCCAAGTTCAAGTCCCACTTCTGGCTGTGTGAAATTATAGAAGTAGTTTCATCTTTTAGTAGTTCCACATACTAAAGAAATCTGAGGTCAAGTCCCTAACCTTTTCACACAATGTAGAATTAAGTGGACTTTTTACTTTGAATTGGGGATGGATGGGCAAAATCTAGTAAGAATCCCTCTCAGAAGTACCATTAGAGTCAGAGATGCAGGAGAGAGGCTGGGAAAATTCTTTCAGAGAGTCTTTGTACGTTTGCAAATGCATGAGGGAGAGTCCTTTCCATGAACATAGAATAGTATTCCCCAGAAAGAGTGATTTATTTGAAGTCAGCAAATCTAGGACTAGATCATACCTATGGTACTTAGTTGTAGTGGGGAAGTCACCTAACCTCTTTTAGGCTCAATTTCCTCTTTTATAAAATGAGGATAATAAGATTTGCACAAATTACCTAGAAGGATTTTAATCCTTTTGTAAACCTCAATGTGTAATATCAATGTGAGCTTTGGTTACACAGGATTCCTTCCTTCTGGACCTCTTACCTACAAAGATTGTGGGTTTTTTAGTGTAAAAAAAGAGGGACATACATGTTCAAGGGCAAAGAAATGAGGTGGGGATTTGTGGAGGAAATTGTGTTGGGACTGCTGTGATAATTTTGCCTTCTTATTCCCTGACTACCCTAACACAACACTTAAATAAATGCCTCATGTTTTGTTTGTTTGTTTCTTTATTTTTACTTAAAAAATCTGTCAGTCACTGTTTTCAGCAAACTAGTTCTTAGAGAAAGACAGGGCGCAGAGTCGAGTTTATGAAGAAATGGAAATGTAGGTGTCATATCACACCAAGTCAGAAGGCAGGAGTTTAGTAAATTCAACAGATGTAATTTGCAGTCTAGTTGGGGAATGGAACATGTAAACTAGTAACTATAATGAAAGCTATCATAAGCACATTGATCAAACAAAAAGCATTTATTAAGTACCTACTAGGCATTAGGCCCTATGCTTGGCACTAGTGATACAAATACAAAAATGAAACCAACTCCATCATCAAGGAAATAACATGGTATTCCAAAGTCTTAAGCTACTAGAATTTAAAACTGCACTAAGTCTTTTGCAACACCCTGTATATACAATACGAATGCTTAAGAAGAGAGGTCCAGGGACATCTAGGTGGTGCAGTGGATAGAACACCAGCCCTGAAGTCAGGAGGACCTGAGTTCAAATCTGGCCTCAGACCAAACACTTGACAGTTACAAACTGTGTGACCCTGGGCAAGTTACTTAATCTCAATTGCCTGAAAAAAAAAAAGAAACAAAACAAAAAAAAAAGAAGAGAGGTCCAAATAAGTGGTCAGAGAGAGAGACCAGTGCCAACCAGGAAGAACATCTCCAATATAGAATTTCAGGATCCTATCCTTGGCCCAATTTTGTTAAACATTTTTATCACTGATGTTGATGAAGGAAAAGATTATGCTTACTAAATTTACAAATGGAGTAAAAGCTTCAAGAGAAAGTTAACACACCAGGGGAGAGAATTTAAATCCCAGAAATTATTGAATTAGAGATTTGCCATTATAGAATTTGAGATTTACAAGGAATGTTAGAGGCCATGTAGTCTAATCCATTCCTGAAAAGATTCCCCTGTATAACACATTCAAGTGGTTGTCCAGTCTCTCCTTGAAGATCTACAAAAAAGGTGAATCCACTACCTCTTGAGAAAGCCCATTCTATTTTTGGACAGTTTTAATTGTTAGGAAGTTTTTTCCTGACATCAAGTCTAAACCTTCCACTCCTTACTCCTGGCTCTGCTCTCTGTGGTCAGAAGAAGAGAGTCTAATCCCATTTCCACATAACAGTCCTTCAAATACTTGGAAACGGTTATCATGTCTACCTCAAGTCTTCTCTTCCTTAGGCTAAATGTTCCTTCAAGAAATTTAAATATAATATGATTTCAAGGCCCTTCTCCATCTTGACTAGCTTCCTCTGGACTCTCCTATCAATGTCTTTCTTAAGCTGTGGCACCCAGAACTCAATATAATCCTCCAGATGAGTTGTGCTGGAGGCACATTACAGTGGGACTATCCCCAGTCTATTCCTGGAAGCTCTTCCTCTCTTAGTGCAGCCCAAGGTCATATTGTCCTTTTTAGCTGCCACGTCTCACTGCAAACTCATAAGGGATTGCAATCCATTAAAACGCTTAAATCTTTTTCAGAGCAAGTACATTGGCAGGCTGAAACAACAGGTCTAAACTAGTAGGTAGTTGTCAGAATATATTCTCTTCTTCCTATTGGGAAAGGGAACACTTTCCTCAAAGTTTATCTCTTCTTTTAGGCAATAAGCCATGCATTCAATAGGCACCACTTTTTTCAGTCTTCTCAGGATGTTGTAAATCAAATTGCTCATTTCTCTTATCAGCAATAGAGGTAGTTAGGTAGAGCAATGGGTAGAGTATTGAACCTAGAGTCAGGAAGAAGTGAGTTCAAATGCTGCCTCTGACATATGTGTGTCCTTGGGCAAGTCCCTTAAACTGAAATCTTTCAGCCTCAGTTTCCACTTCTGTAAAATGGGTATAATATAGTACCAGCCTCAAAGGATTGTTGTGAGGAAAAAATCAGGTATCATATAAAATGATTCACAGAACTTAAAGTTCTGCATAAGTGCTGGTTATTTTCATTATTATCATAGACTTAGAACCATTAAGAATCTTAGATAGCATTGTGTTTAATGCCCTCATTTTATGGATGAGGAAACTGGGGATCAATGTCATATAGCTTGTAAGGAAAGAATCTCAGACACTAACTCAGATTTTCTCACTCAGTCTTTCCCCTAAATCATGTTAGTTTCATTTTCTAGTTTGTGGCTGAGTTACGAATAGCTAATGTCTCCCTGGATACAGACAGGGATGAGATGGTATTCTCTTTATATTTCCAAACTGAATTCTTTGCTTTAGTCAGATCTGCCAATTTTACAGTTTCCACTTATATATGAAAATTGTTATATTTTGAATTTAGCTCATAGCTTATTATGAAATTATGTATTATTTCCATTGTTTAATGGACCAGAGAGAAGTCATACTGAACTTCTATGAAAAAAATCATCATGGCTGCATCTTTGGACCAAGTGGGAACTCAGATAAATAAATACTAGCATTCTGTCTTAAGAAAACACTACTAAGCATTTTGACTGTTATTGACTTTGTTACATAAAACATTTATTAAGTGTCTGGTATTATAAGGTACTATGTTAAGACCTTGGGAATGGAAAGATGCATGAAATAATCCCTGACATCAAGGAATGTATATAATAGGGAAGAAAAGCCAAGAATATTCATCAATCACAACACAAATTATAATACAAAAATATAAATTAAAATATCAAAGAGGTAGAAACAAAGTTATATGATAATTTCCATGAAGAGCATATCACTTTGGGCTATGAAGATCTGGAGAACATAATTTTGGGCTGTGAAGATCTGGAGAACATAATATCTGAAATAATCATTAAATAATAATAATAATTCATATTTAAATGGTACTTTAAGGTTTCAGATATGTTCCTTACAATATCCATGTGTGCTAGGTAGAGTTTAAGTATGATTTCCTTTCTATCTCACAGATGAACAAACTCAGTTGAAGTGGTTTGTCCTCAGATAAAGCTAGTGAATGTTAGAACTAGAATCTTAAACCATTCTTCATCCTTTGTTTTTTCTCCTTATTCTGTGCTATGTATTATTCCATCTCTTAAAGGGTGGAAGAGATATAACAAATTGATGCAGGTAAAGTAGCTGGTTAAAATGCATTTTAGGTAAGCATGGAAAGCATTGCTAATAGTGGCAAAGAGGCATAAAAAGGAGGAAAAAAGATCTGAGGAATGGTTAGTGTTTCAATTTGGTTTGAACATAGAGTTGTAGAATATTGACAAATAAAACTGGAAAGGTGGTTTGGGATCAGGGTGTGAACGGTCTTGAACATCAATATTATTAAGTTTTATCTTTGCTGTGTAGGAAATATGACTAGATGGTTGATTTGTCATCTCCCCCATTAGACTGTGAGCTCCTTGAGAAAAGGGATTATCTTTTGCCTCTTTTTGTATCCACAGTGCTTGGCAAGATGCCGGGCACGTAGTTGGCATTTAATAAATGTTTATTGATTGATTCTCAGCTGGCTAGAGAGGAAATAACATAACTAAAATGCATCAAAAAAGAGTTTAAAATAAAAAGAGGGTTCTTAAGATCAAGTTTAAAAATTGGTTAAAGATAAAAACCATAGAAGACATAAACTTAAGGAGAGGCATAGTATAAGTGTGTATAATGCATTCTGAACATATTTACCATAATTAAATAATGAAAAAAGGATGACAGAAATAACAACAACAATAAAAAGCCAATCTCTACATGTGGAAACATCTGTGTAAATTTGGCAAAACTTGTGTGTTCTAGATTGACCTCATCTGTTATTGAAGAACACATAAATAAGGGCCCAAAGATATCATCTGAATCCATGAGAGATTATACCTAAAATCACAATTATGATACAAGTAGAAAAATTACAATGCAAAGATCTTTTAGGTTAATAGGCTGATGAGCAGGTTACTAACTTAAACTTTCATCATGTCTTCTTCAGTGTTGGTTGCATTTTAATCATGTTACTCATTTCATTTGCTGATCTGACAATACTGCTACTATCAAACAATCAACAAGCATTTATTAAGTGCTTATTATTATGTGCTAGAAGGCAGGTAGGTGGCACAGTGTATAGACTTCCGAGAACTCAGGAAGACTCAGACACTTACTAGCTGTGTAACTTTGGGCAAGTCACATAACCCTGTTTGCCTTAATTTCCTAATCTGTAAAGTGAGCTGGAGAAGGAAATGACAAACCATTCCAGTATTTTGCCAAGAAAACCCTAAATGGGGTCACAAGGAGTTGCATATGACTGAAACAACTGAACAACAAAAACAACATTATGTGCTAGCTTCTGATAAATGTTAGGGATATAAAGACAATAGGGAAACAGTTCCTGAATTCAACAAGCATACATCCCAATGGGAAGACAGCATGTATATTTATATGTATATACAGAATGCACACCCACACACCCACACAAACACACACACATAAATACAAAGTCATTTTAGAAGGGAGTGCACTATTATCTGGAGGGATCAGAAACAACTTCAGTGAAGAAAATGGCCCTTGAACTGTGTGATTCCAAGAGATGGAGGTGAGGTATTAGACTTTAGAATGTTTAGATGAAAACATCATAGCATCACAGAGATAAAAGAATCTTAGAGGTCACCTATTACCTACTCTCTCATTTTACAGATAAGGCAATTGAGGCTCAGAAAGGTTAAAATACTTGTAAAAGTCTACATAAGTAATGAGTCAATGAGACAAGATTCAAATGTAGGTTCTCTGTCTCCAAATACAATACTTGTTCCATTAGATGATGGGTCTTAATTTTTATCTCCACAGCATCTTTCATATAATAAATACTCCAGAAATCTGAATGGTCTGCTTATAATTAGACTATTATTTAATTAAGATTTTTCCAAGATAAAATGTATCTAGGAAATTAAAGGAAGAGTGTTGAATTAATATGATAGATAAGTAAAATGAACTATGTCCAACATAGAGCTTAAAAGGTTTACAAAGACTTTTCCTCACAAAACCCCTCAAGGTAAGTAGTACAAGTTGTAATAGGTGTTTTTTTTTTAAATAAAGAAATCTTGTGTAGCACCAATTATGGCCTCACTCCTTGAACTATCACTCAACTTAGCAAATCAGGTCACTAAAAGGTAGCTAATACTTCTTCCCTCCAAGGGTTCCAGAGGGACTGTTATTCATTTTCTAACATCACTTATAATATCACTTAACTAGCTAACTTCTGCCAACTACTAATTAACCAATGAATATCAATTAGCTTTTAAAAAGCCTTATTTGCTGAGAAAGTATAGCAATGATTGAGGTGCAACAATAGGAGAACAGACCCAAACTTAAATTGACTGCTACAATATATACCTCTATCCCCAAACAGGGCAAAAGTGATACTTAATGGCTCTGGGAATCCTTTTCTTCCATAAAGATGTCCCCAACAAATTCATTTTTTGTTGTAGAATTGGAGGAGGCACTCCACTTATAAGAGATGGTATCTTGGATTCTTGGTCAATTCATTGCTGGGAGGAGTTAAGTAGTTTGCTTGTCAAGGCTGAATTCACTGAATTCAACTATTGATTGTATTGGATGCTGTCGCTGAGGGGCATTTTGGTAGCTCTTCAAACATTTTAAAAACTCACAATGTCATCAACTGGTCCATTCCTTTCTGATTCTCATTTGCCCAAGATAAAAAACAAAACAAAACAAAAAAACCAAAAAAACCCCCAGAAGAATAAACATGAAGAAGCAAAGGAAATAGAGGGATCATGCATTCAAAGCCACATGGTTCCCAAGTGTTGAGATAAGGCAGCTGTGACAGTCCACTGATGTTATTACCTCTTTTCCTGCCTTAAAGCCCACAACATTTCTTCTTCTTCACTTAAATGTTACCAGGGAAGAGAGAGTGTCTCAGAGGGAATTTCCTCCAGCCTACTACACTCAGTTTCATCTCAGCATTCCTTTTCCAACAGCAGCTCTGCTTGGCTTCGACTTCATATAACATCTTCCTGAACCTCTCCCCCCATTCCCATAACCCACCCCAACTGTCACCCCCTTTTCAGCTTCCTTTTGTGAGTTGTTTTCCCCCATTAGATTATAAGCTTCTTGAAGGCAAGGACAGTCTCTTATTCTTATTAGTACCTCCACTTCTTAGCACAGTGATTGGCATATAGTAGGTGCTTAATAAATGTTTGTTGAATTGAATGAGAAGTCTTATCATCATGCAGTGAGCTGACAGGAAATAGACTACATCTGTCAATGCTATGAATTAAGGCAAAAAGCCTCTCCATTACACATGCTCCAAACACATTCACCAAAGTTCTATGTGTTGGATTGAAGCCAGGGATGTAATATTGCGTATGATCTATAGAACCCACCAGGCATAGCATATCCATGTAGACTCTAAGTACTAAGACCTCATCAGCCTGTTCTCCATTATACTAGGCAAAGAGAGATCAAATTTCTGACCCATTCTTACATGGCTAAACTGAAATTTGAGCTCAGGTCATTTTATTTGAGACCATTGCTCTTTCCACAATACCACTTTGCATTGAAGGAATGCATAAAGTAGATACTATAAAAGATAACTAAAGCTGGTAGTTGAAAGTTATATAATAAATGGAAAGGAATGAAGATGAGAAAAAATAGATGGCCTTAAGATATTTTAATTTGTTGGGGAGCTAAAACAAAAGGAGTTTTGGAGATGGATAACACAGTTTCATAGTATTATCTTGAGAAGAAGGGAAAAAAATTCTGATTAGATGCAATAAAAGGAAGAATGATGAAGAGTGGTTTTAATGTAATTCACTAAGCAGTAATGTTGTTATATTACCAAGGGTAGGGAACCTGTGGCCTCAAGGCCACATGGGGCCCTCTAGTTCCTTGGGTACGGCCTTTTGATTGAGTCCCAGTTTTACATAACAAATCCTTTTATTAAGGGAATTTGTTTTGTGAAGTTTGGATCTAGTCAAAGGGCTTCACTTGAGGACCTAGACGGCCACGTTTGGCCTCAAGGCCACAGGTTCCCCATCCCTGAACTAGACCTACCTGATAAAACTATTGTTACTAATTATAATTCATGATTCAATATTTATAGATTCTTAGCTTTTAATTGATTAAAACAGACTTTCCCTATATGTTATTGCCTTATGTCATTTCCTGACAAGTACCAAAAAAAAATCAGTTTTACAGATTTTTTTTCAGTTAAATGTGTGAAGTTCTAAAATCTAGAACTTTACTTCCCACTATTACTTTCTTAAATGAGAAATAGTTTCAAAAATATCTTTATTTGCATAATGTACATAGGGATAATAAACAAATGCCATATTTTGAGAAAATACAGATACATAATAGAATAGTATACCTGTAAAATAATCATGAAAGATTCAAAATAAAATTTGGGGAAGTGGATGTCATGTGAGATTTGCATCAACTTCTTCAAAATCCACTTAACTATCTTTAAAGATTTTTATAATTAAGTCACTTGAAAGTGGTTAGATTAATAACACACAAAATGTCTAATTATTGAAAATGTAAAAATTATTGGGTATCAAGAGTTGCTTAAAGTACACATTTAGAGATTAAAAGGGGAAGTCTTAAGGAGTATGAATTCTGATTGGTTGTACATTTGGATACCTACATATGGCTATATTATATGCAAATATTCATGAAAGAGTCCATTTAGAAGAATTTTATAACAATTTTAAAGTATCAAAAGAGAGAAAAATTCAGTTTGTCAATAAGGCTAACCTAAGGAATATTAATATCTATATATGAACAAGGAAAATAAAGTGTTTAATTGTTGTATAATAATGATGTTTGTGTTTATAGCTCTTTTTGTACAAAGGGTGCTTAGAGGTTTGTCTTGGAAGAATGGTAGTGAACAAAATCTCACTCATAGTACTTCTCTATAATAACAGTGACTACACAGACATTTTAGCAATATTTTCCATTAACATTTAATTTTTTTTTTCTCTTGAGCACTTTATAATATTGGGTACACTATGGTAGCCTATAAATGATAGTTCTTCTCTAAATAAAAACATGAAATTCCTATTAGTTGAGTTCTATTTTTGAAAGAAAAAAGGAATTTTTTTTACAATGTAAGCAAGATTGGGTGCTTTCATATAATGACTTAAAGTTCTCATTTTTAGAAGAAAAATGTAAAATTAAAAGTGAAAATGCATTAGTGAGAAAACTGGTATTTTAAGTAAACACCACAGAAAGTTAATTTTATTCTCTCTTTATTGTAAAGATCACATGGGAGGGTTTGAATGTCATTTGAGTTTCTTTTGTGCCTATATAATAATGTATTTACTGTCATATTTTTCTCCTTGGTATACCATGTACCCCCACTGTAAAAGCTATATAAAAAGTGGTATTCCTTTTTTTCATTCAGATATTTTTTTCAGGGCCTTTGCTTTTGACAAAGCAAAAAAACGATGTCATTGGTTCCCTTTCAATAGCATGTCAAATGGAGTGAGAAAGAAGCATGACCATGAATTTGATCTGTATGAAAACAAAGGTAACTCGATTCTCCTTAAATTTTAAAATCACAACTTTTAGAACTTTAATCGATCTGAGAGATCATCTAGTTTGACTAATCTCATGATTTTATAGATAATGAGAAAACCTGGCCAGAGAGGTCATGAGATGTGTCCAAGTCCTCATGGCTAATTTGTTAGTGGGAGAACTGGAATCAGGTGTTCCGATTCCCTGTCCAGTGTACCTTCTGCTGTGTCCCAGCTGCCTCTCAGAAGGGCAACAGTTGGATTCAAAACTTCCTTATAAAAATGACTAAGGCTATGTTTATATATTACCAGCAAATAAATACTTCTTGAGTACTTCCCCCATCCTCAAAACAACTTAAAAACTGATTCTTCACAGCTGATTGGATTCATTATGCAGTTAGTTAAATAATTAACAGGGGCAGCTAGGTGGCCCAGCGGATAGAGTGCCAGTCCTGGAATCAGAAAGACTCATCTTCCTAAGTTCAAATCCAGCCTCAGGCACTTACTAGCTGTGTGACCCTGGGCAAGTCATTTAACCCTGTTTGCCTCAGTTCGTCATCTGTAAAATGAGTTGGAAAAGGAAATGACAAACTATTCCAGTGTCTTTGCCAAGAAAACCCCAAATGGGGTCATGAAAAGTTGGACACAACTGAAAAATGACTCAACAATAAATTAAGAGACACTAAAAACATTCATAACCATTTCAGTTAGGGCATTTTTGGTTGGAGAGATTGCCTGACTATTTTCCTGAGGGGAATTGTGACTTGTTCCTCAAAGAATTTTGTATGTACTGCCAAAAGTGCCCCTTCAATTCTCTGAGCTTCAGTATTGTCTATTAAATCAGGACAGTAACACCTCTTCTACTTGTTTTGCAGAGTTGTTCTAAAGATTAAATGAGATAATGTATATGGAAGTGCTATATAAATCATAAAATACTAAAACAAAATTGTGCTTATTATTTCAAACAAATTATATGGTAAATTCCATGAAACAGTGTTGGCAGTAATTGTAACTTGGCTACCTGATTTCAAAATTACTATGATTAAACCCTTTCTACAAAAAAAAAAAAAGATTCAGGTGGAGATTATGATTTCTCAAGGTAATTAGATAAAATTGAGCAGGGAAATTAAAAACTAATTTATGTCTAAAATAGTGGCTTAGAAATCAAATATTCCATTAATTTTCATCTAAAATGACATTTTGTGGTCCAACTTAGCATATATAAATAGCCAATCAAATTGTGAACTCTGAGCTCTTTACTTACTCAGTGTTGTGAAAATTCATTGTAAATCTTTACATCTCAAGGTAAAAAAAAAAGTCCCTGACCTGACATAGCAGAATTCGAGACAGCAGCTTTGCTGTGGCTAATCTATTCAATCTATTCACATGTAACATAACAGTGCTTTTCATGATGGCCATTGGTTCTACACTGACCAATTCTGTCATGACAGATTTTTGGTTTGGTCAAATATATACAGTAACAGGTGTTAACTGTCAAACACAGATTTTTTTTTTCATCTGGTGTGCCATGGCCCACACCAGGTAGACATCTCACAGAAAGGCAGCTGAACACAGCCCTCACCAACTCATTAGTAAAATGAACAGTATTTCAGCTCCTGGAAAAAAGATGTCAGAAATTTTAGGAAAGCTCTTTTTCCCTTGTGTAAAATTTGAAATGCACTGAATAATAGAAAGCGAGTATATATGGCATTCATTTTTTATTTTAAAATGTTTTAGTAAGTCTAATAAAGAAGAGTGTTAAATACTATTATAGCATGATTCACTATTAAGCAGATTCAAATGGGTCCAATTATATCCCAGAAACATAACTACATATGATTTTTAAAAAAGCTATGTCATAAGGTTGATTTTAGTCATGTTTTCCAATACCAGCCCAAAGGTATCCTACTCTACATATAAATTTTGAATTTTAAGCTGTGATTGAAAATCACCTAACATGAAATTTTAAAAAGTTATTTATGTTATTTTATATTTCTTTTAAGTTGTGTTGACTACTGTAGTAATATAATTTTGCTATCGTTTTGATAGAGAGATTTGAGGGAAATGAGAAATTGTATCCATAAGAAAAAAAAATAACAGAAGCTTTTCTTAATTGCATCCACAAATAAACTTAAAAAGTGAAATCTAGACCAAGGTATTCCATAATTTGTCAGTTTTGATAATCTGAACAGATCATGGAGAATATTAACAAGATACTTTGTTCAGAATATGATTTAATGATAAATAGCCAAAGAATATTAATCATGTCAATAATATTTCATATTGGTTGGAATCATCAGAGCTATAGTTTATAAAATATGTATATGCTACTTTTAGTTTTTCTTAATGACAATGAATAGTACACATTCATTTTTAAAATGGAACTTTAAAGATATGCATAATAAAGTCTGTTAGGACATTGAACTATTATTTTTTAGGCGCATGAATCTGTGTGTGTAAACTGTATATCCACTTTGATTATTTCCCTGGTCATTGGCTAGATGCTCAAGGATAATGATGCTGAATTTATATTTATAAAGTTCTTTATGATTGCAGAGTATTTTTGTATTCATTGTCTCTATGAGGTAGGAAGAATAAGTATCTCACACCGGAGGTGTCAAAACATGCTCCTGGTGGCCCGTAAGACTTCTAAGGGTGGCTGAACTAAATTAAAGTATGCGTGGGAAATATTTAACAAAATAAATAAAAATACATATTTAATGTTAATATGTGGTTTTCTAAGTCAACATGTGGCCTGCTTGGGAGCCAATTTGACATCACTATCTTACACATTTAATAGAAGATGATCATCTAAACACACACACATATACACACACATGCATACATGCATACATAATGAATTCTGGCTACCTTAGCTTTAATTTGGCAAGTAAAACCCACATAAGGATAGGGCAAATCTCAATTCAACATTTATAAAACAATTTAGGTAAGAGTAAAATACTTATTCACAAATAATATATTCATTTATCTAAATAAGAGGCTCTACTGTTACTTTGTTAATTTTAACATCAATTTAAAGACATTTAACCAATATCATTACTTTTTTAATACCCTCAAACTTCTAGGTAGTAAATGTTTTGAATGCTTTGTGAAATCCTTAGAGTAGAATTTTTTTTCTGTTAATTGAAATAATGTATAAGGCTGAGCTAATTACTTACAGGTTTGAATGGAGTTTTTATTTCCATCTTTAAAAAGTAAAACATATGTCTCACATGCTTTTAATATTTTCTCTGCTTTCTTCCAATAGACTACATTAGAAACTGTATCATTGGTAAAGGGGGAAGCTACAAGGGAACTATATCTATAACTAAGAGTGGTATCAAATGCCAACCATGGAATTCGATGATACCACATGAACACGGGTAAGAATAGTACGAAGAAATACTAATCTAGACATTTAAAAAAATTTAATATAAGAAAATAAGTTATTTAGCCAGATTTTAGTATACTTCTACCATAATGTAAATCATTCAATAAAATACATTGAATCAGGGGCAGCTAGGTGGCGTAGTGAATAGAGCTCTGGCCTTGGAGTCAGGAGGACCTGAGTTCAAATCCAGCCTAAGACACTTAACACTTACTAGCTGTGTGACCCTGGGCAAGTCACTTAACCCTGATTGCTTCAACCCCCCCAAAAAGCAAAAAAAATAAAATAAAATAAAATACATTGAATCAGCTTGTATATGTGTGCATGTGTGTGCACATGGTTAGCAAATATGGGATATTTGGAGAAGGATATGCCAGTTTATCCTTAAAGATTTAGCATAAAAATTTCATTTGTCTTCTGTTATTTTATAATTGCTTTTATTCATATAGATATTGATTATTTATGACTGCATATATTATTAAATACATATAACTGATACAAGTTATCCCTGTGAACTCATGAGGACAAACTACAATGTATATACCTTGGAGAGTTAGCAGAAACTGAATTTTTCTGCTAAGTCCCTTTTCTGATTGCGCCTGTAGCTCACTGACTCCAAAGCCTGTGAAAACTTTTTATCTGTGAAAGTCTTTTTTGGAAGAGAAATAGTAATAGGAGACAGGTTTGGATTCACAGAGGTTCAGGGAGTCTAATGAGTGTATTCTGTGGATTACTAACTAAGTGTCTATTGTTTTTTCATTGATGCTCTCCTCAGGCATGGCTGCCATCAGATGCAAGGTGGGGAAATCTCCCTCTTGCTGGAAATACCATTTATTATTTTTTGACCTTCCATTTAAAGATATGTGGGGATTACAGACAGATTTATTAGACTGTGTGATTAAAGGATGAGAAACAAAACCCCCTAGTGACTCTTAAATAGCTAATAAGTGCCAAGATTTGGAGGGGAAATCAAATCATTTTCCAAGATTAATCTCAGATATGAATTTCATTGAATGAGCAACTAGTTTATTTGCTTGAAATATAATTAAATTTAAGAATCAGACTTATTTCAATATAAAATGCCATCAATGCTCAATCAACAAAAAATAACAATATTAATGGTCTATCCTAGACCCTTTCCTCCACCCCCAGTAGGGGTAAAACATTTGCCCTAATCCATCCATACTTTCATATTACCTGTGTTATACCCAATGGCCTACATTTGCAAAATATGTAACCTGGATTAGGAGTATAGGCTCTGACCACAGAAAAGAGCAAAGGTAACTGGTGACCAACACAAGAATGGTACTCCTGACCTTGTTCTTATTAATGTAGTACTTTATACAGTTGGGTTAACCAGCTGCAAACATTTCAGTACTAGAGATTTACAACTGCTTTTCTAAATAAGTAATTTTAAAGTCAAAATGACATTTGGTTTTCCCTAGAACATAGTGCCATCTTTGAATTAAAATAAAGAGAAAATAATTTGACTTTGTCTATCGATGATTAGCTTGGTTTCACTACCTGCATTAGGAGGATAAAATTACACTTAGATAGATCCTGCCCTTACAGAAAATGATGTAAGTTTTCCACTAACAAAGGAATAACATTTGAAATTGATCCTTCCACAGTGCCAGGACATACTCTGGACCCACAGAGGTCTATTTCAACCCCAATATTCTTGTGATAGTGAGACATCAGAGACCTAGAACTAGAGAACTGTCAAGTCCAATCGGCTGCTTTATCAACTAATTTTTCATTGTGATAGAAAGCCTTACTACAGAGACACTTTCTTATTCACTTTTTGCAAGCTCTCCATGCTTACACTATTTTAGGAAGAAGTGACCTTCATCCACTAGTTGTCCTTTTGGGGTGTGGTATATACAAACACTTTAAAGTAAAGTGCTTGATTCTTGGACCATGTTTCAGGGGTGATGAAGTAAGAAATATGCCCTTGGCTGAAGTAATGATATGTTGTTGACTCCTTGAATTGAAATACTTTATAAATAGACTTAATGGTAACATGATGATAGATGGTCAAATGAATAGAAAAGATAAAGCAGAAAGTCAGGTGACCTGGGGATATAGGTCTAGTTTCTTTACTTGCTGTTCAACATTTCCATTAATGAGGTAAATGAATGTATAAAAATCATGCTTTTTTTTTTTTTTACATCCACATAAGATACTCAGGGAAGAAAATTTAGGCTAACATCTTGAGAGTTTGAGTTAAATTTAAAATTAAATTTGAAGACTCCATTTCGAAGATTTTTCCAGCCACCCATCCCTTTAAAAGCTTTGATAGGATCAGAGTCAGAGGACCTGTTTAAAGCCTGTCTATTCTTAACCACCTGTGTGAAGTCTCTTCAACTCTGCCTCATTTTCCTTGTCTATAAAGTAGGGGGTATGAACCAGATAATGTCAAGGTTCTTTCTAGGTCAAAATCTATGTCCCTATGACTCCATGAACAGGAGCAGAGAGCTCAGTATGCTATAGTCCATAGCGGAAGGTTCAAACTGAGGAAGTGCTCCATAAATATACAATGAATGAATGAACAAGCGAATGAATGGATAGAAGAAAACACCAGAGTCAGCTAGCCTTCATCTTTATCCCGAACTTCACTATGTGAACAAATTGACCACAGTATAATGAGGAAGGAGAGGGAATAAGGATTTATATAGCAGGTATTTTGTGCTCAGCATTGTGCTAAGCATTTTATAATTATCATCTGATTTAATCCTCACAACAATTCTGTGAAGTACATGCTGTTATTATCCCTATTTTACAGTTGAGGAAACTGAGGCAAACAGAGGTTAAGTGACTTGTTCAGTGTCTGAGGCCAGATTTGAATTCAGGTCACCTGACTCCAGGCTCAACACCATATCTATTGAGCCACCTAGCTGTATGCAACATAACCAAAAACAAAGATGAAAAGGAAAAACCAAAGGCAGCTCTGAAATTTCACCTCAGGTTAAGCACAGGATGCACAAATGCCACCACTTATCACAGTGGCTGGAACATAGTGGTGTTTAATAAATAACTTGACTTAATTTGATCTTGCTCAGGCATAATAATAATACTATCTAGAATTCATATAACAATTTAAGTTTTGCAAAGTCTAGTACACATTTTATCTCATCACATTTTTGCAACAGCCTTGGGAATTAAGAGCTATTATTATCCCTATTTTACAAAAGAGGAAGCTGTGGTAGATAGACATTAAGTGATTTGTCCAGGTGCACACAATTATAACTGAAGTAGGGTTTGAACTCAGGTCTTCCTGACTACAGATCTATCAACTATAATACCAAGCAGCCTTGAAGACCAGATGTACCAGAAAGACAGAAGGGGAAATAAAAGAGAATCTTTTTATCTTGGTTTCCTGGAAAACTTTTCATAGAGTATTTTTTTAAAAAATTTATTTTCAATTTATGGAATAAAACAAGCATTTCCATAACATAGTACAATAAACAAGATGATTGTATATGAAACTGCAAATTTACTATATTAAGGCTAATACTACTAATGAGCTAATTCTTCATTTTCTTTACATTTTCTACATCCAGGAGAATTTGTTCTATTTCTTTTTTCACTACATACAACATTCCCTTCCATCTTTCCCTCCAAATCTACATAGATTGGGGTGGGATGACAAGATGTTCTCAAAATATTAGTCTTTATTTGTTTATTTGCCTCTATTCAGCATTTGATAAGAAGTACCTTGCTTTAAGCAAACCTGGTTGACCGAATTATGGTGCTGAATATGATCTCATAGATTAGACTAACCACATAATTTTACTCATAAGGAAACTGGTGCTCAGAGATGTTAGGCAATGTGCCTGCATATTATAAGTTAGCAGCAGAGGGGACAGGACTAGGTCCCTGTTCTCCATTGCTCTTATCTGTATATTCAGTTGCCCTACCAAACGTGGGCATGATTCATTATTTATAGAAAAATTGCAATAATGTATATATTCAAAAATCTAGTGCAGTTTTAATCTGCTAAAGCTTAAAGCTATCCTAGGACTTTTGGGACACCCTGAATTTCTTGAAATGAAAAGCTTTACTAAAGCATTTAAAGTAAAATGTTTATACATTACTTTTTAATACATAGCTCCCATCCTAAAGGAACTACACTTATATGTAAACCCACTTATTGCCAAGTCATTTGTTTTTGCCCTGCTTTTTAGAGACCCATGGTAATATGTCCATTTTAGAATGCAGTCTGCATGAGAAAAGTGATTGTGCCTTTTTTTAATTATAATATTCATACATATGTATGTATATATCAGGGGTGAGAAACCTGCAGCCTTGACGCCACACATGGCCTTCTAGGACCTTGTGTACAGCCTTTTGACTGAGTATAAGTTTTACAGAACAAATCCTTTTATTAAGAGAATTTGTTCTGTGAAGTTTGTTTTCAGTCAAAAGGCTGCTCTCAAGGGCCTAGAGGGCCATATGTGGCCTTGAGGCTGCAGGTTTCCCACCCCTGGTATATATGTATATCGGTAAATATTTGAAGAGGCTATTATCATAATGAAAACTTGGAAGAGGGCTCAGACAGACACACATATGGTTCAAGTCCAGCAATGCACAATCATAAAATGGGGAAATTCCTGACTTTTGTTAAAAGAATAACCCAAAATAGTTTAAGATGATGGAGTGAACTTTTAGGCAACAGTATAAAGAAATTAAAAAACAAAAACAAAAACAAATCATATCAAGATTCAAAAGTATATAGAAACTATGAAATTATTTTCTCAAGATGGTAACAAGAAACTTACTAGAGGAAGTGTACTATAGTGGATAAAGAGCCTGGCAGAGGGCCAGGAAGACCTGGATTTGAGTCTTACTTCTGACACATAATGGCTGTGTGACTCTAGGCAAGTCACAACTTCTCAGTGGTGTAGGTAGCTCCCTAAAACTTTAAGTTACAGAGAAGATACCAACTTGCACTGGTGGAAGGTGTTTGCTCAACCACTATCTCTTTATGACAGT